GCTTTGGGAACCCTAACCGGAGCCTTCGACTCAAGTCTGGCCCACAAAGCAGTGGGGCGTAGATCCAACGCGGGGGCGCGAACGAAGCACCCCTGTGGGAGCTTCTATAGACCTGTCACGCAAGGCCATGGAATTTCGGTTCAGTGTGTTGTTCGCTGATGCTGATGTTGTTCGTTGATTGACGGTCTACTTTTCAGGATCGACTCTTAACCTCATGCACTCAGTGAAACAGGCGGATCGCGGACGGGGATCACACTTTATCGGTTGGGGGCTTTCCAGCTTGGGCGGTAGCTGTCCAGCGAATTGCGAAGATTTCTCCCACCGCCAGGAGGTAGCCCCAGGTACCCTGCTCCTACGTTTGTCTGGCGGGGGTGTTTGAGCAGTAAACTACCGTTCCTCATGCTTTTTGCTGAAGTGACCTCTCCAAGGGCGGGAGTGGATAATCAAAGAAAGCCCGGAGGTGCCGAAGCAGCTGGCTTTGTGAGACTGATCTTCGTCTGAACTCTAGCCATCGACTATTAAACCATGATTGAATATGCTGCCGGGGAGCTATCTTGTATGGCTCGCAGGGTCATTGAGGCACGCCATCACACCAAGTCAAGGTGCGGTCTCGTGACGGCCTCCGAAAGCCTCAGCATAGTCAGGGGTGGGTGTCTCAGGTTGTGGCTGATAGTCATTCCCTTGCGCGATGCGAAATGCTCCCATATGACCAAGCATCTTAAACAGCCTTTGCTGAGGAGGCCCTATTCACTGACTTCACGTGATGTTTTCCCATCCGTGAGAACAAAAATCCAACCAACGGCGGCTACAAACGGGTCCACTGAAATTCTCTCTTCTCGACTCTTTCAACTTTCCTATCTTTCTTCTACTGATCATTAAAATGGCTGGTCAAAGGACAGCAACCAAAGCCAGTGCATGAAAGTGGTTAATGGTTGCACAAAAACTTTAAACGGGTAGGTCAACCACTTAGCTATTCAGCCAGGGGATATGACTAAAGCCCCTGATCCCGAACCAACCAACAGGTGTACGAATAACACACAAATTCCTACTTGTGGCAGTGGTCACCGGATCGATTGGGCATCGAAGTGTGTTAGGTACCTTGGACATCTGACCCCGTCCAAGGGATGCACGATCTGATGAACTAGACACCAGATCCCAACAGGGTGCAATCTTTGGGCACCGCACCGCTGCCTGTGGGTTAGGCTTCGGCTAGTCGAAGGATATGAGTGAGTCCTCGAAATAATCCTCCCGCTTTGGCCTAGGCAATCCAGCAGTATCGAGCCAACAGGCAAATAATGCACATTTCTATGATTTATTTGGCCCAGTATGGACTAAGTCATGTGTGAAAATGAAAATATTACATATACTTTAGTGATGAACATTATAAGAAGTGAGCTCGTCACGAGGACCTGTCGTCCAGTTATGGGAACCGGTGACCTAGCACTGAGGTCTAGAGAGGTGGACCAAATGTTTTAATGGGAAATGTATGGAATCGCCTATTTTGTTTGGAACCTTCGCTTAATTGCCCTGATTAACTTTCCTTTAAGTACTAAAAGCACCACTCCAAAAAAAGCCTAAAAGGTGATGTGGATAACATGACTGAGTTTGACTGCGTACGATAATTTACTGGTGGCGGGAGTGGTTAAGTTGTTGGACTCGCTGTTACCATCATGCTCTGGGGCTCGAAATTTGAACCCTGCCACCATCATACAAGTTTGATGGTGGGCAGCTTCGTCATCACGGGGCTCAAATACCTTACCTATGTTAATGGGGCCTCAAATGGTTTCACAATCCGAGATACTGGGGCTTCGGTTGCCAATTATTAGGAATGAACAGTTGTTAGGTCCCCGCAATTCATTCTCTCCTTTCTTGTCTTGGAATTGGGTAGGAAACACAAATGATCGGTTGAGGTGGTGAAATGTAACTTGTAGTTGTTAATTAACCTCAGGTTCTCGTTTTTGCTACTACTGCTGTTGAACTATCAATATACTGTTTTGTAAGCCGGTGATCCAAGCCCAAAGAAAGAACCAAAAGATAGAGAAACTATCCCTCTAACCTGTTATTTTCTTTTGTTTAATAGATAATGATACAAACTTCAGGAAAGGGGAAGCGGTTAACCAATAGCCTATCATACAACACAGTCAATAGGAAAAGTAACGTGGTGATGGGATTCAAACACATCCTCCGGGTGGGGATAATTTGGTGACCTTTACCACTGCGCCACCACCGCTAACAATAAAACGAAAATTTCCATCAGTACCTTAATGACTTGCATGAAAACTTATACGGGTTACGTAAATCATTATCATCATAAAATGTTAGGTGCTTTGTAATATTTCGAGCAACGTCTTCAAAATGACAACTTCATGAGGGCATGAAATAGAGATTACACACTATTGTAACCACACGCCATCAGTTTTGCATTCAGACCTACTGATATACCACTAGCAAACACAAGGACACAGTCGGTGACTACTCAAATGTCACCGAGTAACTTACCATCAACAGTTAATCGTTGGTAAGAACGAGAGGACATTATATCCAAGTCATGAGCTGCCGGCTGTAACCTGTGATCACCTCTGCGCATTTTACTTCCAATAGGGATGCCATGATTGTTTGTGTGTTGATTATAAATTCCAGAGTTGGGTGGATCGATGTAAGGACGTGGTGAGAAATCAATGGGGACCTCGAACGGTTCGTCATCAAAATCTGCATATTGCTGAAGGCGGGAGGGAGAAGGTGGTCCCAACAACACACCCTGTAACGTCTGTTGTTTTCGACGTCGGGATCCGAGTCCCTGAGTCGTATTGGACGGATTTCGATTGCGGGCCAAATTGGGACCACCAACACACTGCCTCAAACGACATTTCTGACGCATTCGATTTGGACCTCCGAATTTCCGCCTATCGCGGCAGTAATCACATTTACCACAATCCTCTGGTTGGGTACAACCGCTACAACTACCACATGAACGTAACCGAGAAAAACATGGACGCATTTTAGCTGGTGTAGACATTTGCGAATTGGGATTTGGTTCATCGTCGTATTTGAATTGGTCATGATCGCGTGGCCAGTAATTCCGGTGAAGATAAGAACTGGAAGGTGAAGTCGGACCAGCACTCTCGCTAAACCCATCAATGATACTCGCAGGTGATACTTTTGTATCAGTTGGAACAAATTTTCTTTCGTTGAATAAATGCGACGGGCTGGAACGCTCATCGGATAGCTTTCCTGTAAAACCTAAAAGTTCGTGATTTTAGTATGAAAACAACTACCGTGAGGTGTGAGAGAAGATGAAGGTGGGTTATTCCTTTTACTCTTAGACGGTTTCGTTGGTGATGGTTGATCAGCGTATGCGCTACTGCTACTTCCAGGGCTCAAAGCTCTTCGGGAGGCCTTGGTCCGCTGATTCCTTGTGGATTTAT